AGCTCCGTTTTCGACGTTCTTTATATCCACGCGAAGGTCAGACCATACTCTAAAACTTTTGTTTAGACTCCGTCGGCTAATTTTGACTTTTATTTTTATTAATTATTTTTAGAAGGCCGAGACAGAAAAACTTCGTTATAAATTCATAACTTCTTCGTCCGACGTCCGTTCTGGCCTAGGTTTTCATCGTTTCGCTATTAACAACGAGATCTTCAATTCTCGTTTAGATTGTTTCGGCTAAAAACCACTCGATCTCAAATCGAGTATTCGGGTTGCATACTGCTACATCGAAACTTCAGAAAATCATAACTTCCTCATACGAAGTCAGATTTGGGCATTCTATATATATATTCGGAAACCTCGTTTCAACTACTACAACATTATCCAAAGATATCGAGTTTATTTTACACTTAAATTTTGACGCTCATTTTATTCTTAATTTAATTTAAATGATAATAATTAAGAAAACACACATAATCCACATAATTGACAAATAATACATTGTTATTATTTCAAGTTGGGTTACAAGGTTAACCTAGACTATTACATTGCTAAAAATGGCAAGCCCAGAAACACGGGCGTTACAATTCAACCATCTCTCCCTTATTGATTTTACATCAAACCCTTATTTTTGTTGAAATTGTCTATTTAAATCATAGTTAATTTTAGTTTGTTTCAAGTATTTCAAAACACCAAAACCGCCCATTTTATTTTTATTGTTATTTCACAAGTATTTTTACAAAGAGATTTTTCATGGAGTTATAAATTTAACTAATATCCGTGGATTCGACCCTTTACCACTATAGATTATTTTTGTGTGTAATATTTAGGGTTATTAATTTTTTTGGCCTCGACAACCACCAAATTTTTGGCGCCGTTGCCGGGGATTGGTTTTTATTTAATCAGTTTGTTTCTCTATGCCTAGATCTCATTGTGCAGGTACTATAGTTTAAAACTCAAAAATTGAAGAAAAAAAATGTGGTTCGGGAATGAACACTTCTAGCATTGATGATAAACTTTCTGAGCTAGCTCAGTTAGTTATGATGATTGAAAATGACCAAAGTGTGCATCCCACACCTCTTCTTTGTGATTTTTGTGCCCAAAAATGGACATCAATCCGACATGTGTCCATATTTACAAGGAGAATGGGAAGAAATGCAAGAGAAGGGAAGCTACTACTGGTCAAACCAATGGAGTTATGATCAGCCTCAACATGATCAATGGCGGGACAACAACCAATCTTGGGGATACAACCAATACCAAAGTCCATACCAAGCTTGGAGTAACAACCAATACCAACAACCTCCACAGTTCCAGCATCCATATCTTTCACCTCCTCAACAACCTGAAACGCCAAGAATATCCTTAGAGGACATTGTGAAGAGCATTGCCACATCTACCCAAAATTTCCAGGAAACAACGCAAGCTAGCCTCAAAAGCTTAGAGCAATAAACAACACAACTTGCTCAAACAGTAAGTATATTGGAAGATCAAGACAAACTACCATCTGAAGAGAGCCCATGTGCCATTCCTTTGAAAGATGAGAAAAGTTTTGATGGCCCAAGAGTGTTATATGGAGAAGAGGAAGAAGGCGTAGAAATGGAAGAGGCTATCAAGGAGGAAGAAAAAATTGAGAAAGATGTTAATGAAACTATAGAGGAAGTGTTCGGTGTTAACAAAAGAGAGGTTGAGCCACCCACTACCATTGAGAAACTAACTCCAGTGGTAGATGAACCACAAGATCCGAGAATGATAAATATGTCGGACCCTTTAAAGGATACATATGTCGAGAATGAAGACGCCCAATCGGTCACCAAATTGACCACCATGTCAAACATGGAAGAGTTGGTCACCTTATTAAACAAGTACAATAAATAATATGGTTGAATGCTTTCTATTATCAAAGGTATAAGTACGGTATGGTTCTCCCGTAAAAAGAAAGTCAAATACAAGAAAAGAGTCCCAATGGAGGTGTGGAAACTAAAAAATGTCGACACGGGGCAAATTTTCAATGTTAATGGACATCGACTGAAACCTTTCTAAGAAGGTTTTGATTCAAATGTCCAAGATGTCGTCCATTTGGATGCCCCAAAGTGTTAAAGTGAAGTTTGGAGGCGTGTCGCCAAAGACGTTAAAGAAGGGCATTTTTGGGGAGCATTGTACTTTCGTCTTTTATAAACCAAATAAAATGATTTTGAAAATGTTTTTTTTGAAAATGTTAATTTTTGAAAAATTTCAAACTTTATTCTCGCCTTTGGTCCAAACTTTTTGAAGTGTTTTTGAAACCCGGGACTTTGCAGGAATCATTTTGGCTAAAAATCAAATTTTTAGAAAAATTTCAAATTTTGAAGTGCAGGAAGTCACGCAGCCCGCGTAAGGTCTTGTGCGTCTTTTGTGTGGCCCATTCCTTACCCACGTAGAAGAATCACCTCCAACCCTATTCAGCACACGTGGCCAGCGAGCGGGTTCCACGCAGCCCGCGTAAGACTTTGTGCGACCATCGTGCGGGTTCCACGCGGCCCGCGCAGATTTCTGATTTTTTGCCATTTTCAAGCTTCAGGCCCCGCGGCCTCCATGCGGCCAACCCGCGGCCCGCGTGAAAGGTCAGAAGAATTAGTGGGATTTCGAGAAAACTAGACGCGACCAACACGCGGCCCGTGCCCCTCCCGTGCTCCATACAAAAACTCGATTACCCAGAGATCTACCGGTCGGAATCCCGCGAGACCACCGTTACTCTTCACCATTTTTCCTCCTCTACAAACCCCCTATGCTTTACTTGACCCTGCGATTTAGGTCATTTCCGCCCTTTCCTTAAGCATTGAGGACAATGCTTATTCTTAAGCTTGGGGTGGGGCATTTCCCTTTCTTTTAATTATTCATGCATTTTTTTGTTAGGTTGCATATCGTATTAGTTTACGTTAATTTGCATTCATTTTTTGTGTTTTAGCATCAAAATTCCAAAAAGATTTTATTTTCTTCTTTTTCACCTTTTATATTTTTGCATAACATTTAGCTTAGGGCATTAGCATTCATGCATTTTTGTTGTCTGTTTATTATCACCTCCTTGGATGCCATGGAACAGGTTCATAGTTATTGTATCATTATTGATCCAGGATCTTGTTGCTATCTCACCGATCGAACCGGGACCACTAGCTGTAGTTTGGGATTTCATACTTGGGATCAGATGCTGGTAGCTTAAAGGGGTAAGTGATCATGGCCACGTAGTTTCATGAAGAATTATGCATACAATACTAACAACTGTAGGATATACTATAGCAATGGATTTTCTTAGCCATGCGGTCACTACCGCTAAGAGGATCATACTTGATTATGTTTGAACTGTTACGATGAAACATTGGTGCTTGTCCCCGAGTAGAATCCATATCCGGTCTCTTTACATCACCATATCCTTTTGCGATTTTCTTAGAATTTTAGAGAGTCTTTTGGTCCACATTTGGACATTTTCATCATCTTTGAAAAACCACACGTTTGAAAAGGAGCTTAGATTAAATTTTTATGCTCCACACATGGTCATTTTCACACTTACGTTATTCGGAATATATCATTACCCTTTCGGTTCCACTTACACACTTTTGGGAACCAAATTTTGAGTCAAAGGGTTTTCTTGTTAAAATTTCGATTATTAATACATGACCTTCAAGTACTAAAAAAAAACAAAACAAAACAAAAAAAATGGCATGCAAATTTTCTGTTGCAACTATCTTAGATAGGTGGCCGGTTTCAATTATTGAACAAATTTTCCAACATCTTGGTCACCCGACGTTTGATATTCATATGTATAGGTCTGTTCAATTGTATATAGATCGAGTTGTTTTTTTTTTCGCAAATTGGTGATGTTAGGGAGACTGTCGAGTCGGATACTACGGGAGGTTTGGGCCAACACTAAGTGAACCGATTCCTACAACGGCGCCCAAGCAATTAAACCTAGTTACACATGAGAGAAACCGGCAGACGTGAGAGCAGAGTGTGCACTTAAAGAAGAGCTCCACCTGAGCCCATCCAGTTTCTTTCTCCTTACTACAGATGTTCTTCATTATATGCATGTTCCATTAAGACTAAGACTGACCATCCCTCATTATTCACCTAGAGGAGTTGTCCTGGCTGTGGTTTATGGTCCCATTGTTATTGGATGAAAAAGTTGTGAGATAACAGCGAGATCAATTCTGACCATGTTGACTAACGTCGAACAGGTTCCATGGTTCTATCCATTCTTTTTATTTACCTTAGGATAGTTCATCCCAAGTTCATTTTAGTCTTGTCTTACTTGAGGACAAGTAAGGTTTAAGCTTGGGGTGAAATTTGCAGATTAGGAGGTAAGCACGTTTATTTTATATTCATTTATCATATAATCTTATTAAGTTTGATTGTGACACAGATTGGTAAGTGATGGTGTAATATATTTAAGAATGGGCACATGACAAAGAAATATTTAGGTTTGAATTACATATTCTATAAGATATATTTGAATATGTTATATAATTCATTCAGAATGATGACATGGTATGAGGTATATGAGCTTGTAATGAGTTTTACAATTATTTGAATCTAAAATAATGGATTAATAAAAAGTTTTCCTGGTATAAATTATTCTGAATAAATAAATATGTAATATTATTTGTTTATGACAGTTTAAGTATTTGGTACATGCAGGCGTATTGTGCTATATTTGACCGGGTACAATAAAGTAGTGACCGAAAAAGGTAGCATGGCAAAAGCGTTAATTGAAGGTCTGAAAAATTTCCTGATAGTGAAATATTAAGAGAAAGGATGACATTGATGAAAATGTTGTTTAATGATGTGGCGATTAATGAAGATGCAGTTGAAAATGAAAGTGATGGCATTGATGAGGACACAGACACAGATGATAACATGTTACAAAAAATGCACAACATGAGAATCTTGGACAAGCTTCAGGGTCAAATAAAAGTCCTGTTACACCATATGGGACAAAAGAGAATGTAGATGACATTAGGGAACACATGGAAGGGAAAGAAATTGCACATGACTACGTGATGCCTATGGGTGAAAATAGTGTAGCATGGGGAAATATAAATGAATTGAGTAGTTCATTATTTTTTAGATTGCCTGGATTTGTAGATGAAGTGTTGGATATGATGGATAAAGTAAAAGGTGAGAAAAAAGTAAGTTATGTTGGAGATAACAATCATGGGATTGATAAGAGTTTAAAAGACACCATTAATGAGGACATAGGTTTTACTACACAAAGCTCAAGAAATTTATTAAGTGATCTAAATGAATCAGTTGTTGTGAAGGATAGAAGGAAATTCGAAAAAGAATCGAATGTGAATAGGAGAAGGAAATGTAAGGTTCCAAACTATGAGCAGTCACCATTTGTGGATAGGCTAAATCAGGTACATAAAAAAAATAAGAAAAGAAGAAACGACTCTTTGCAACTCTATTTTCGCTTCTAAAAGAGATCAATTGTAACTTTAAATTTTATATTAAAAATGTTATTTGTTTTGTACATGATTGTTAATGAGTACGTGTGTAAGCAGGGATGTGATTTTGGATTTCGATGAAGGAGAAAGCCTTCTTCAAGGTGATGTATATTTCTTTGAACATAAAATGTTCATTCATAGGTCGATAATTAATTGTTGGGCAACATTCTTAAATAATATGGAACGATACAAAGAACTAGGAACAACAGCAAGAGTATACTTTAATACCTATTTTATGGTATGCAACAAATTATTAATACTTGAAGTTCATTAGAAATGAAATTTAGCATTATGTTAATTGATGGTTAACTGATTCTTGCAGAACGAATTATGATGGACGAAACAAACTTGAGCTTTCTAGTCTTAAGGAGTTTACTTTAATGCTTGAAATGTTCATTGGAAATTTGGATATCAAAACAAACTTAAGTGATGTTGGACTGGTATTTTTTTATTATTTTGAAACATATAAATTTCAAAAACATTGATGTAAATATCATGTTAACAAGTATTATCTGTTGATAGTTGATGTCATATAAATTTCAAAAACATTAATAAATTAAGTCAATTTTGCAGGTTTTCTTCCCGATAGTTGATGTTGACAAGTATTATTTGTTGTGTTTCGACTTAAAGAGGGGAATATATTTGATTAATGATCATGTGAAACGTATCGGTACAGTTGAAAGTAGATATGGAAAAAATACCAAGTACACTTGTAAGAAATAATATTATTATATTTTAAAAAAATATGGAAATTTTATATAAAAAAATTTATGGTTAACATTACGTATTTGATTTTGGTTGCAGCAACGGTTCTTTTGCAATGACTTGATGACACAAAACCATCCAATGCATACTGAATTGTACTCAAAGGAAGCCAACTCATGAGAGTGGTTTGGGAAGTACCTAATATTGGTCCTGACTGTGGTCTATATTTGATGAGGCACATGAAGTGCTATAAGGAAGATCTAGAAGGGAAGTGGGAAACAGGATTTAAAGGAATAAAACATAGTGATGTTTGATGGGTTTTGTGCAATACATCATTCCTATGGTGTACATGCAAACTCTAATAGCTTTCGGATCTACTTTGTCTAATGAACATGTAATTGAATATCCAAAGCTATAAACCCTAGATCTATCATACAATAAATCATATTAACATAAAATAGGGTTTAGTGTTAACCTTCAATTGTTATATAGCAATAACAATCTAATGCTTGGCTTTAGAAAACGTAGTGCCTTAAGTGTTGCACCTCTAATGGAGTCACAAACACCACTAAGGAACTTGGATGAAGAGGGGGGAGGGAGGAGGCACCAAAAACGGTTGGAAACCCTAAAAGAACTCTTAGCCCCATTTTTGGGGCATAGGGGCCCTTTATATACATGTAGGCTATTAGGGTTTATAACTAGGAAACTCTAATCTGACTGCGTAAGCCCTAACCAGCCCGTGGACTCCTTTAACATATCCCTTGCATGAATTTCTTATGGGCTTACCATAAAATTCATCCAACCTATATATTATTAGGTAATCCATAGCCTAATTGTAATTATTTTATAATTACAACTGCAGTCCCCTAAGTTTAATTAATCTATTTTAACCACAAATTTAATTCTTAATTATTTCTTGACTAATATTAATTAAACATTATGATTTCTCCTTTAATATACTTTTCTTATAATATATTAATAAATCATAATTAAACCTTTCTCTCCTTAATTCATCCTACATATTGCTATGCTGAAGGCAACCCAAAAGGACTATGCTCATAATCGGGTCAAGCACATATCAAAATAGTTATGGACTTAGACACTAATCCAACAGTCTCCCACTTGGATAAGTCTAATAACTATTTTGGATAAATTCAAAACCTGATCAGCAATTGTAGCTTCCAAAAGTCGCTGTCAACTCTGATCTTATTAGATACGCGTGCCCTTTAGATAAGGGATCATATATTCCTCCATTCTCAAGATATCGTATAGACACAAGACATGAATTTCGATCATTCTCTATATACTGTTTCTCGACTTCTGATTTATGACGACTGACAACAGACTACAATTGAACACATCAACTTAGTCCCGGCTTGGCCAAGCACTTAGGTGTCATCACTAAATCATCGAGGGGCCCACAGATATCGCTTTTATCCTACTTTGGGTAAAAGGAATGGATAAACTTTGGCTCAAATGCTCGCTTGTACTCACTCATCGAATCACACACAACAATAAGTTTTAAAACACCAAGTTACTGATGTGTTTACTTATCATCAATGTGCAACCTAACAACAAATAACAACTCACACATCTCGGTTTCAAGAATATACAATATTAGTGATTCACATGAGCGTGGGTTTAATCCAATACTCTAATCTTATTAAACCACTCATGAACTCTGCAGCAAACTTGTGCTATGTCTAAACTCTTTAGACAATCTACAGACTCTTCATGACAGTCTTCCTTCATACCTACTTCCAACGTATGACCGACTTTGGAGGTTCGTATAACCCACTTATTCTGGAAGTCAAAACATGCAAAATGAAATACAACAATAATACTTAATCCGCTATGGCCCCAAACTTGTGGAAGTAAATAAAACACTTTTGTTTAAACACAATATAGATTACTCATTATTCATCATTTACTGTTTCAGAAAATCAACTTATTACTCAAATTACAACAATAGCTGTCCCATGCACAAAGCATGCACACTATGTTTCCTATGGTCCATACTTTGTGAAATATATCAATTGAAAACTTTTCCAATGATGCTCATTCCACAATTCCTAATCCTTATCATTAGTGTTAGAACACAAGGTTTTTGACATTACTAGAATATGCTAGATTCTAACATTTTATGCAACGATCCTTTCGCAAAATCATAGCACAAAAGTCACCAAGACTTGGCCAATGAAATTACAAAGTACTTTATCGGAAATTGTTACAAGATAATTCCATAGACGTGAAGTCTCACATTAAAAGTACATTCCTTTGAACATTCTTCTTGCATAAAATTTTCTAATCTAGACATAGACTCTCAATATACAACTCCCAATATGGAAACATTTCCATATTTTCCATATGACAACTCATTCTTAATAGAATCTTATATATTCATAATAATGTCTATATGGTCCATCCAATACCATACTTCCAACTACTCACAAGCGACCAGTCCTCAGCGAACTTTGGATACTCCTTTGATAGTTGTTTAATTATTTCAGTCAAAACCGATTCTAGTCCTTTTTCCCTCTTAATGCGCTAAACACTTGGAAAATTTTATAATGGTCATATATTATAGCATTGCAATCCATCCTATACTCGAAGCGTATGGGACATAATGCATAATGTCTTACATAAAGATATGATACTTTATCAATCTTCTGCCATAATATTTTATGTGTCACGTTCTCCGAATTTGAACTATGAAGAGGGATGCCATAATCATAATTGAAATTTAAGAACAGACTTTGTATCCTTTGACTAAATTTATTAGAATTTCTCAATCTAAGCTTTAGATTTTGAAACGAAGTATAATATTCTCTCCCTTAATTATAGCAAAACAATTTTTCAACCCATGCAACTTTGCAAATTGAATCTTTGTTTTTCTATAATTAATATTACTAACTTGAAATACTTGCCATAATAACCATACAAGAATAACACTTATGCTCCTACTATCATGATGATTATTATCATATAAGCATAACAATTATGCTCCAACTAGCTTTGACATGTATTCAGAAACAGCGGAATTTCCAAAAAAAACAATGCCTTTTGAATTTCTGAAGTTCATATTTCTAATACCAGATGCTTCGATAAGCCTTTATCTAAGCTTCTTAAACTTATACAGCTTTTCCTCAGATAGCTCATATGTGTGTCTAAGCAATTCAGAACTTATATCAATAAGTCCCAAATGTTAGACTAATTTCCAAATCTCACAATTCAAACTATGGAAAGGGATGCCATAACCATAATCGAATTTGAGAATACAAATTTCACAATTGTTATCTTCTTAAAATCTCTCTTAGTGAAAACATTTCCTCATAGTCATTTTCATGAAGGAGGGAATCTTATGACACTTAGATTTTATGGTGTATGAGTTCCTATCCATGTAAATATGCCAATACCAAGTTTGTGACAAATCCAAACTTATATGGATTAAACTTTCTTGATTTTTAGCCTTATGGTAACACAAGTGCCCACCATGTCTTCCAAGTAGTTTAGCAACTTATCCTTACATATCAATGTACTTTCCATCGATGAAGGCCCTTTGTCTTTATGCATTCAAATGAGAACTCATAGAACTCACGTACATAATTAACTTAATTGGAATGGCACAGAAACAAAAATAATGTCAACATGATAGGTTGTAAACCTAAAGTCGTGTGCTAGTGATGATCGATAAGGTTTATTATTGATTTGTTCTTGAAACCTTTTTCAAGATCATTTAAAACTCCCACTAACCTCGTGAAATATATGATTCTCTTTTCAGGAAACTTTCCTAGACAAAACAAATATTCAATAGTTAGTGTAGTTCTTATCAAGACAAAACACTTCACATAATTGGTCCTAGTTGGTCTTTGTCTTATCCAAGACATCACAACTTACCAATTTCAAATGTACAAGAATAAGAAACTTTCTTATTCTACATTTGATAAGTGTTACAAACCTACTTAAGACTTTTTCACCCATCACAATCTTGACTCTATGACTTGATATTAGAACGAAGTATGATTGACTTCTTGATTTTAACCATTTCTACAATTCTCAATTCCTTTTCTTAGGCATGCAATTGCACTAAGACTCGCTTAGAGGATCAATTGAGACATGGTTCTTAATCATTAAGACTTATCATAAAACACAATAAAATTTACTTTGCGTTCTTCTTAGAATAGAGAAACTTTTATCTTTCTGCCTGCTAGATTCTTCTTATTCGTTCTGCTATTGATTGAAACTCTTTTAATCAACTAAGAATTATACTTAATCTTATAAGTATAACCATATTTACTAAACTTTAGTAAATCATGACGAATATATTTATCACTCTTGTGGTGGACTTTTTCAACGCACAACCTAGTGTACTTGATCTCCTAGTCCTTCAATTGACACTTTGTCAAAGAGTTAGTCTAAATTTCCCAAATGTGAAAGTTTTTCATTCATCATACAATACATGTTGGATGATTCCAAGTTTCTATCCACTTGAAACTTGGGCAATGAGAAACTCTCCCTAATTGTTAAATTCTTGACACTTCCACAAATAACCTAATTAAGAATCAAATCCATTTTGCTAATAATAGAAACCTTCAAACATCAATTTTTCATACATGTCATTGCAAGGATAAATAAATAAGATAAAATAAAATTTTATTTTATTGCGGAAAAACTTGTCCTTACAATGCATTTCAACTGAAAAACTATGCTATTACATATTTCGTAGCAATCTACCCTAACTCTTAAGTAGCAGCTTAAAAATCCGATCTTTGAATCCATGCGATCGAAATCCATTTCTTCGTGATCAGATTCAGCAGCTTCTTCCTTAAGCTTCCTTTCTTTTCTTCGATCTTGCAAAACATCAAAATGTAATCTTATCACATCATGTATTAAGAATCAAAAATAGGAACTTACAGAGTTAGTTAATGGATTTTACTTGAAGTAGAGCCATAAGTCTTGACTCTCCCATCTCTTAGATCTCTCAGGTAAACAGGGCAGCTTCGTCTCCAATGCCCCTTCTCTTGGTAATAAAAGCAAATGGACTCCTTTGGAATGACATAAGGGACTATCTCAGAGTTTACCTTTTTTGGATCTCCAATGTCATCATTTTCAATGTCCATTGAAGTTTGGGAGTTTGATTCACCAAACAAATTTGCTTGACCAGCATGCCAAATCATTGC